AGCACGGCAGCCGATTGGAGGGTGAAACTCGTGGCTTTGGCATTGCCCCTCTGGTTCTGGCGAATGAGTGCCTTCTTGTTGTACCGTCGGCTTCCGCATCCCCTACAGCGTGGCATTCACAACATCTGAGCGATCGTCGGGGTGGGGACCTGTCGGCTTGAGCAGAGCTTCTACAGGAGTGACCCTGCACTGGCTTCCCCAAGCCTCCGACTCTGCAGGTTTGGACACGTAGCAGGAGACTGCAGCAAATGGACACGGTACCAGGGGGCAATACATAATTGCTCTTAATATACTCTCCGAGGGACCAAACCCCTCTGAAACGCCTTTAGCCCATGGCATGCGGGGTGCCCGGGCTGCGGCGGCTCGCGCGGCAGAAGCCAAGAAGGCCAAGGCGGCAGTCCGCGCCCTGGAAGCAGCCCCTTGCAATTGAAGCTCTCTGGTTTTTGTCCTAAAGAACTTAGGCTCTTCTGACTATTCTGTTATGGGCACAGCTTGCTTTCTACCAGCGGCTATCACGGTCTCCACGGTCTCGGTGTACTCTCGAGAGTCTCCACTTGATCTGCAGAACTCACGTTTCCTGTTGGCATTTCTGCTTCTTGCCGCCTTCAATCGGTGTTGCGTCCTCAAACCTTGTGGGGCGCTCATCGCATCTTCAGTGACAATTTCATGCAGGTGTATGAGAGTGTTCAAGAACTCGCAGAATCAAGTCTTTCCCATTGTGAACTGGTGCGATGGTTCGGGAGAAGCTCCAGCCCATGCCCGACAGCCCAGGTTCCCTGCTCTCCACAACCTCGACTGTTCCCCTCCCAATCCACCGGACCCTTTTATCCAAGGATGTCGGTCTAAACTGTTTCTTGACGCCCGGGCGGAAGCTGGCCGGCAAACTGCTGTCGAATCGGATCACATCAGTGCCGTGGCATGGAGGGTGTTGTGGGCTTATTCGATGCGATGCCCGCATGGCTCAAGGGTTCATGAGAGTTCCAGTTTGGGGAGCCCAGGACTTCCAGCGACACGACGTGCTGCCGTCTGGAGAGGTGCTGCACTTGGGATCCCTGGGCCGAAACCTCAGAGGAGCCTGGGTTTGCTGCACATACTACGGGGTCGGGGAGTCGGCTGAGGCTGCCCGCCGGAGCAAGTCAGAGCGACAGAGCCAGAGGTGCATCCAAGGATTCAGCGGCTGCTTGGTCATGGAATGCGAGAATCCTTTTGAGTTTGCCATGCAGTTTATACAAGCATGGCCCTGTATCGCTGTAGAACACCAGAATCGGCAGGCCTTCTTCGCAAAAAACGTGTTTGTGCTCCCGTGGTCAGGCAACGTCGCAGCTCTGAGACGAATCGGCGCACGCACGACAAGGACAAGCTGATGAGCTTTTTGTCGGCGCACACACACACACACAAGCCTTCCCAAGCGTATTCGCATATAACGTCCTTGAAGCCAACCTGCTCTACTAGCAACACGGAAACAACAGCTTGCCTAGATGCACAAGAAGGGGCATCATCAACATCCCAGCAAAAAAAAGACACCTTTCAGGGGCCTCCGGCCTCCCCTTGTTGAATTTGTCCTTGAGCTTTTGGGGTCCCTTCGGTCCCCTTCGGTCCCCGTCCCCTTCCAGGCCTGGGCCGCCGTCCTCTACTCGGAGGCCACCGAGGCGCCCGCGTCGCCGAGGCGGCGCCTGGCGCTGGCCCTGGGCCCGGGTCCCGGAAGAACCGGACAGAAGAGGCTAAATTCTGAGCGGATCTTCGAGTCTCTCTAGTCTCTCTTTCGAGTCTTTCGATCTCTGCTTCTAGTTGGGCTCACTTAGATCACTTAGTACTTGAATTTAAAAAACGTGGTCGTTTGCAGGCCTTGTTCGATCCAGCACGTACTGTATTAAGTTATTGAGCGCGCACATGTATTTGCAATTACACATGCATTGCGACTGTGCGGCTTTCGTGGCTTTAGTCTGTGGAGTAGGACCCACTGCCACGGATTTCTGTTGCAGCATGCTTGACTGGCTTTCAGAATCATGAAGACTTGGCAGTGGACAACGGCGCAGAGACACGGCGATGGGAACATAGACAAGGAGAAGAATGTATCGCACTACGGCTCTGAATTCAGGAGTTGGAGCAAACAGTACCTGTAGTAGGAAACAAGCATCAACGTATGTTTGGTGTTTGGCCCACACGAATCGAAGTTTTTGCAGCTTGCTAAGGCGTTCCTGAGACCGCGTTGCGATTGGGTCCGGGGCTCCACCTGCCTGGCGTCTCCGTGGAAGTGGTCCGCCTGCCACGAGGCCAGCGTGCAGCGACCCACCGTGAAACCTGGCAGACCGCTCTATATCTTAAGACCCCTCAAAGGGTTTCTGACCAGCTTGTCTGTGAAGTGTCATGGCGAGTGCTGACCTGACGTGGGCCCCCGAACGACGCGGGACAGCACCCTGACACTCTCTCACAGAAGGCTGCGGTCAGAAAGACGGAAAATCGTCAAGTTGTTCCCAGCATCCAACGCGCCCCTCCAATTGCCGCCATCATCCTGCTGAAGCTCCTTCTCCCACAGGAAGGTGCTTGGTGTGAGGGTGGAGTTTCAGAACATGGCGGGCCGTGCGGCGGGTGGTGCGGGTGGCCCTCAGAATGCCACCCCACCGGGGTCTGCGAATTTCAAGCATCGGTTCCTCACTCTGAAGGTGTTCTCGTGAAAGGGGAAAGCTGCCAATTAATCTGCCCACAGTGTGACCCCTCACTCTTGCATTCTCGCTTGCTTCGGTATTAGGGAGTCCTTCAAGGATCTGAGACTTTGGGGCTTTCATGCAATGTTGTCCTGCTGCTCGCTCCTGTAGTCGCAAGTTCGGGGCTCAGGGATGCGATGCCTGAAGACGCTCTATTTGTTTCTGGCTTTGCCAGGTTGTACACTCGACTCTAGTATGCCATTTCGACGATCGCTTGTCAAAGACTAACTCCCTTGTAGACGCTCGCATGTAAGCTTGCACGTTTTATCGCTTAGTTTTTGGACTGCTCCATTTGGATCTTGCAGCCGGAGCTGCGGCCAGTGTGCCTTACAAATACTTTTCAGGACACTTGAAATCACTTTTCGGGGACTCGGGTTAATCAGTTTCAAATCAGTTTAAATGATTTTCAACTCAAAGAAATGGTTTACCGATTTCCAATGGTTGCCTGCCGCCATGACGTTTTAAGAGCGCGCGCACACGCATACACGCATACCCATGCGCATACGTACCGACATGGAGGCGCATATACCTCCGACGTGCTTCTAAGAGGCATGCATGCATACACACACGTTCGTACATGCGCGCACGTGTACATGCATAAGTGCACACATATACGTGGATCCGTATCTACAACCTACAGTAGGTCATTGCCCCGTAGTTTGCCTGAGCTCGTCGCGCACTTTTTCAGCAGCCTTTCTGGGCAAGACAGGCTTGTGCTGTGTTGGCAGGTCTTCCGGACTTGGAAGTCACTCCAGAGCTTCGAGCTGGGGTTCTGGGGAAGAAAGGCGAAACGCTTGCTTTGGGTCCTCCAGACCCTCGGTGCAAGATTTCGGTTGGGTCTTGTGCCTCGCGTCAGGCTTCAAGAATTGAAACCGGGCCAGTGCCCACTGCGTACGTTGTTTCAGGACCTGACGCAAAGTCTGGGCATGACAGATGTCGCGCCACTCGGCCAAGCTTTGGAGCACCTAAACTGCCGAAGCAAGACATCCGTCCGTGCTTTCATTCAGATGAGTGAGATGCGATGGCCCTTGATTTCGTCACACTCGGGTTTCTGTCCGACACACTTCGCCCGATGGTGCATCACAGGTGCCCGGCGCACCGCTACACCATCGTGCTGCGGAACCTGAGCGAACAGAAGGCAACTCGTCCTCACAGAGAGGAAGCGGCAGTGGACCGTCCTGGTGAGGTCGCCGAGGGCAGCTACGACGAGCGCTTGGAGGCCAGCAGTGTAGTGCTGTGTGTAGTACAAGACAGAGCCACGCCGGGGCTTTGGGCCACGCCTCGCGGGTGGCACCCAAACCCTTTTGTATTTTACTCCGTGCCATCGGTCATCCTCAGTCCGGTTGCACCCCTGAATCTTGATAGCATTCACACATACTCATACTCTACGCTCCCAATCACCCCCTCAACCACCCACTGCCCCAAAACCCCCCATCCCCTTGCCAAACCACACGAGGAATGTAATGTATTCATTGCAGACCCTCTATATATAGACTCTATAGACTCGCACGACCTTGTCAAGGAGATACAACAGAAAGGCTTCGCCAACTTTTTCGAGCTGTCGTCCTTTGGCTTAGCAGAGGTCCGACGGTACCATGGCAGCAAGCAGACGACCCGTTTCTGTGATGTGGGGCTTGTGACCCTCCTACGCAAACCAGACCCTTGCTTGGCTCCGAGTGAGACAATCGCCATTTGAGACAAATCCTTACGCCCTCAACCTTGCTTTGTGAGTGTACAGTAAAATCCAGTCACTCGCATGCCTGGAGGCGGCTTGCACGTGAAGGTGGTATGCTATCTACAAGCTTGCATGAAACTTGATGTGTAAAGCCAGCTAGAGCATTACGGTGACCACTTTTAAACATGTGGAGGGCGGGCTCGGACCGCGAGCCACGGAGGTAGTATAAAATATCTATTTAAATCTCCGCATGTTTAAATGTATGTAAGTACCTTATACACACGTACTACACACACACACACACGCACGAAGGGAAATTGAGTTTCTGTTTTAGGGTTCAGAAAAACACCCTAACTGCCACAGTTAGGGTTTTAAACGGTCAGTAGTATTCCAATGTGCGGGTTATATGAGGGGGATTCTTGTTCATTGACTGCGTGGCCCAATGGCAAAGAAGCAAGCTTCTTGGTGGGTGAGCAGGTTTTCGCAGTTATGTTCTTTTTCCTTCCCAGCCCAGCCCAGCCCCCAGCGCCTCAGCCCAAAACAGCCCTAACTGCCGCAGTTAACTTTTTTTCCTTCCCCACCCCAGCCCAGCCCAGCCCCCAGCGCCCCAGCCTGGGCCA